CAGGGTGTTAACCCACTGCACCACAGCACTGGCCCCCATCTTGGCAGTCTTTTTTTCCCCTCCTTTATAACATTGACCACATTTCATTTTTTTAAAAGATAGATTTATTATTTGAAAGGCTGAGTGACCCAGAGATGGGGAGACACACACTATACACACACACACACACACACACACACATCTTCTACCCCCTGAGGATTGGGTCAGGTAAGAGCTAGGATCCTGGAACTCCATCCAGGTCTCCCACATGGGTGGTAGGAGCCTAAGGATTTGGGCCATCCTTGCTACTTTTCCAGGCCATTAGCAGGGAGCTGGATTGGAAGTGAAGCACTTGGGATTTGAACTGATGCTCTGATGTGAGATGTCAGTGTGGCTTAACCTATTGCACCACAGTGCTGGCCCCAGACAATTCATATTTATCATCGTGTTCACGTAGCTCATGGCCTAGCTCCACTCACTGAAGTCATTCCTAGGACATCCCCAGTGCTTACTTGCTTAATCAAATATTCCTTGAATGAAAGAACAAATGATTGCAAAAATTAAAGACATTGTCCCTGTATCTTCTCCAAAACACTTCCCTCAGAAGAGCTACTCTATGAGTGAGTAATTCTCCCCATGGGGGGCAGGAGGGAAGAGAGATGCTGGCACAAGACGTGGTGACTGGTCCAGCTCCAGTCTCCAGCCCTGAAGTGCCCACCCACTCCCGAGGGGGCTTGCAATGCCCCCTCTCCCCCATTCCTTCTGCAGTGGGATCACGGGCCTGACCACATTCCAAGTTAGCAGGATGAACTTCCCCTCCCACACCTCCACGAGTGCAGGTTCCCGGACCCTGCAGCCCCTCTAAAACAGCTAACAGGAAAGGAGCCGATGAACTCAGGCACACTGGTGAAGGAGAACCCTGCTGTATTTTGCATCAGCAACAATAAAGCAGGACACTTAAGGTAACAAAGGATTTTTGTGACACTTCCTGTTGGGTTGACTATAAAATTTGCAGGGCTTAATACAAAATGAAAGGGTGGACCCCTTGTTCAGTACAAGGGCCCTTCCAAGCCTGGGTGTCACACCCACCGAGCTAGCCCTGGGGATTGCTACCCAGGGGATGGGCTTGGACTCTCTGGGACGGCCTTGTTCCATTTGTGGACAGTGCAAATTCCCAGGGATCCTTTTCCCAGAAACTCCAGAATCATGCCTGTTCCCAGCAGGGTTCTCTGCTGCCGGGACATCCCAGCATCCAAGAGGCTGCTGCCTGATTCTTTTCCAAAGGTTTCCCTCAAATTCCATGGCTTCCAGCTGGGCCACTTGACTCAGCAGAGCCAGGTTTCTTCTTTCAACCAGGAGCCCAGGGAAGCTGGGAAGTTGTTTTGGTGGCACTCTGGAAGGAGGCTTTCATTCTGTTGACAGGACACACCAGCCTGGAGGGCATTTCTGTTGCCAACACAGGCTACTGTTTACCTGTCCTTTACACACCTTCAGTGAGGCAGCTGCCCCAGGGCCCTGGACTGCAGGAACTTGGCCTTAGCTTAGGGAAGGAAGAGGCAGACAGGAAGAAGAGGCGTAGGGATAGGCCCTGGGAAGGGGGGGTAGTGATTGTGAATGAGAAAATGAGATCCAATGCTGGCTTAGGTTGCCTGGAAGCCACCAATGGAACCTGAACTACATCCATCCATCAACTTAATCAATATCAAGTTGTAAATATATTATAATTTATTTAAATTTGTGGGTTTAATGGAATGTTTAAAATTATTGTTTTTTGAAATATTAAACAGATAACAGAGAGCAAGCGAGCGAGGCCTTCCACCTGCTGGTTCCTCCCCAAAGGCCTACAACAGACTGGGCTGGGCCAGGCTGAAACGAGGAGGTGGGACCTCCATCCAGCCTCCTACATGGGTGATAAGGATGAACTGCTTGTGTCATCCCTTGCTGCCTCGCAGGGTGTGCCTTAGCAGGAAGCTGGAGTGGTAGCTGGAGTTGGGACACAAACCTGGGGCCTCTGATGTGGGTGGCAAGTGCCTTAGCCCTTCTCATCACTGAGCCAAACACCCAACCAGTTGGATTTATTTTTGAGAAAGTAATATATTCTTATAGTTCAAAACTCAAAAATTACAAAATGGTTTGTGTTAAAAAGAGAATCTTCACTAAGCTCCCCTCCCTGCTGGCAGTCCATGGAACCTAGCTGTTTTTTGAATACTGGCAGAAATGTCTGCATGAACAGGTGAATGTGTGCTCTTCCTCCTCTCGTTTTGCCAGTGACAGCTTACCTTACTACTGTTGCATATCTTTTTTTTTTTTTTTCCACATAATACATCCGGGAACTCTTTCTGGATCAGTTCCTAAGAGCTTCCTTGTTCTTTTACAGGTGCACACAGTACCCACATTGCATAACTGTGTCCTAATTTACTTAAGCAGGTGGAGAGTTAGGTCCTTCCAGGCTGTGGTTGTTATGAACAGGGGGATCATGAATATCTTGGAAGGCTGAAATTCAGAACTTCTCTTAGTTCACCTAGGGGATCGTCAGCCAGGTTTGTCACCGCATCCTCATGCAAAGTCAGTCTGAGTCATGGGGTGTGGTGGAATGAAGTGAAAAGCTCATGCCAAGATGGCCGCTGACAACAGAAACTGCCTGGCAACAGGCCGTGATTGGATGGCTTTGGAAACCACATGACAACAGAGGAAACCACATGACAACAGAGCCTGACTGATGGCAGGCTGTGATTGGATGGTTTCAGAAACTGCCTGGCAACAAGAGCCTGCCTGGCAACAGGCTGTGATTGGTTGAGGCATAGACTGCCCCTTGACCGGATTGGCTGGTCTTGGCTATATAAGCTGTTGTACTAACTCAAATGAGTCTGTGGGCTGCTCCCCTCAGGCCTGCTTTCACCTGACTCCCGGGGTCTGTGTGGTGATTCCGAGCCTCTTGCCCCCACCACGCTCCTCCTCTCAGAAACAAATCCACTGCAACATTGTTGAGAAATCAACTGCAACAATGGGGTGCCTGCATTTGTGTGTTTGATAGACATTGCCACTTGGCCCTCTGGGTTTGGACAGATACTCACGGAGTGCCCACTTCATGCCAACACCACTGCCAAACACCGGACATTCAGCCGTTAACAGCATCCACCGATCTCTAGGGATGCAGCCCACTTGAAGGCCCTGAGAGGAGACCAACCATCAGGAGCTCAGATGAGGGGCTGGTGCTATGGCGTAGTGGGTAAAGCTGCCGCCTGCAGTGCCAGCATCCCATATGGACGCCAGTTCAAGTCCTGGCTGCTCCTCTTCTGATCTGGCTCTCTGTGACTTGGGAAAGCAGTAGAAGATGGCCCAAGTCCTTGGACCCCTGCACCCATGTGGGAGACCCAAAGAAGCTCCTGTCTCCTGGCTTTGGATCTGTTCAGCTCCGACCTTTGCAGTCATTTGGGGAGTGAACCAGCGGATGGAAGACACCGCCTCACCCCCGTAACTCTGCCTTTCAAATAAATTAATATATCTTAAAAAAAAAAAAAAAAAAAAAAGATCAGATGAATGAGCTGGAGTGTTTTTGGCAGAGAGAAACTGTGGGGAAAACAAAACAGCCAACCCAGGACAGGTGCCATTGAGATGGGAACTCCTGGGTAAATGGCCTTTCTTGGATTAGCTGGACTGTGCTTGGGATAAAAACAAAGCCAGGCCTGAGAATCTCTGTTCAGACCTTCCCCACCAATCAGCTGCCCAAATATCAGGAATCACTTTGCTGGGGGGACGTTTGGGGACACTTTCATTTCCTTTCCCCTCTCTGTTTAAAATTCTGCTTTTGCAAAAGAGGAAATGTCTTCAACTCTCCATCAAGAGGAGAGCTGCCCCTTGCCCTGTTGGACAAAGGCCAATGGGGTGGAGTGGCCCTGGGCAGCTCCTGGGGGGCCTGGGCCCTGGTCATCAAAGCCTATCATCAGGGCTTTCCTCTCCTTGAAGCGGCCTGCGGGCTGGCGAAACAGAGGAGCCTCTGGTTGCTGCTACCAAGGACTGCTATGGCAGCCACAGGGTCCAGGTGGGCCCTCCGTCCTGCCCGCTTACTCCCCACCGCCGCCTAAGTCAGGTGCTCTCAGACCCTGGAGCCTCCGAGTGGGGAAACCTGGGCCTGGAACTGGCAATCCTTCTTGCTGCTCAAGGCCAAGATGACAAACTTGGTGGAACGGGCTGTCCAGCCCCAGAACAGCCAATTAGGCGGCAGCCTGTGCCACGTGGGTGAGTCCCTTGCACGCCCACCTCGGCACACCTTGCCCTGCTGTCCTCTCCACCCTCAAGGCGCCTACTTCCTCATTGCTTGGGCCTCTGGAAACCCTCAGCCTTCAAGGCCCAGCTCAAATGCTCCTGTCCAGGAAATCTCTTCTCACAGCCCGGCTTAAGGTCTTAGGGGAAGAGCAGGCATCATCATCTTTTGTTTCCAACAAGGTCTTTTGGGGGCTGGAGCCTTGGCGCCTATACCCCCCTCTGCCTCTCTCCGGAGCCCTGCGCTGTAGAACCTTGCCCATGGTGGGCCCCTCCCCCACTCCCCCATCCCCCACACGTATTGGCTGTGGAATGAGAGACCTGTAAGGTGACACTGTCCAGATCAAGTGAGCTGGCGGGGCGCAGGAGATGGGCGGCTGTTAGCGCCCTGTCTGCGGGCGCTTGAAGCGACTCCAGCGGCCCTCTCTCATCCCCGTCCGCGCTCTCTGGTCTTCTATTTTGGGTCCTGTTCTACCAGAGTGATTGAGCAAAGGGGAAATCATCACGAAACCACAGCGGTGGGGAGGAGGAAAAGGCAGAGAGGAGCATGTGGGGTCGAAGGGAGGGTGAGATAAATAAGGTCAGCGAGTGGGAGCCTTGGAGATGGCACGGCCGGCCGGGACCGAAGCTGACCAGACAGCAGATGCTGAACAGGCGCACGCGGGCGAGCCTTCGGGGAGGGGAGGGGAGGGAAGAAGCACTGGAGGAGAAGGCGGGCAGAGGTTCAAGCAGCCTCACCCTGGGAACTGACCAACTTGCTTCTCTTGTAGGAGAGGGAGCCCACATTGCTCCAGTTTTTTTTTTTTTCCCCCCTGGAAACAAGAGAACAGAAAATTCCAGCTGAAAGTCTCATTCCCTCCTCCTTGGTAGTTTGGGGCTGGGCCCGCAGTTCCTCTCTGCAGAAGAGGAACCCATGAGTGCATGCCATTCTCTTGGGAGAGAGGCGCTGGCCTCTGGCATTCCTCTCGTGGGCGGGGAGGCTGATACTTCCTGCACACAGGGAGGCTGGTTCTCTAGTGCGTGAAAGAGGAAGAAGCCCTCAAATGGAAGAGACCTGAAAGGAGCAAGAAACTCTAGCTCCTGGGGAAACCTGGAGCCTAAGGCGGCCTTGGGAAGGGGTCCAGAGAAGTGGCTCCTGGAGCTACCACTGCTGATGTAAGGTTTTCTATCAACTCCTTCTTCAGGGGTGCAAAGTTGCTGCCTTGGCACCATCCATCACCCCCACACTTGCTCCTCCAGAGTTGTGCTGCCAGATGCAGTAGCCACTCGACACATGTGGCTCTTGAGCTCTTGAAATGTGGCTGGTGCAAGTGGAGATGGGATGCAAGTACGAAACACATCTTGCATTTCAAGGTCTTTGTATGAAAAAGAATATAAAATATCTCATTACTACTTTTTAAAAAAATTATTTATTTATTTGAAAGGCAGAGTTACAGAGAGGCAGGGGGAGAGAGAGAGAGAGAAGGAGAGAGAGAGAGAGAGAGGCGTCTTCCATCCACTGGTTCACTCTCCAAATGGTCATGATGGCTGGAGCTGGGCCGATTGGAAACCAGGAGCCAGAAGCTTCTTTGGGTCTCCCATGCAGGTGCAGGGGCCCAAGCACTTGGGCCATCTTCTACTCTTTCCCAGGCCATAGCAGAGAGCTGGAACAGAAGTGGAGGAGCTGAGACTCAAACCAGCACCCATATGGGATGCCAGCACTGCAGGCAGCGGCTTTACCCACCAAGCCACAGCCCCTGATTAATGCTTTTTATGGTGATTACTTGTTGAACTGATAATATTTTGAACATGCATAAAGAAAAATGTATTATTAAAATAAATTTCATATGTTTTTCTTTCAGCTTTTTGAATGTGGCTACCAGAGAAGTTAAGTTTGTGCATGTGGTTTGCATTTATTTCTGTTGGACTGGGCTGCGCTGGAGGGTCTATATCTGGGGCTGGGGACAGACCTGCAGGAGTCTGGGCAAATTTTAAACTGGTTTTCCTCTAGTTGAAAAATTTTTTTTTTAAGAAAATGCATCGCTGTGGCCAGCATGTAGCACAGAGGTTAAGCAGCTGTCTGAATGTCGGAATCCCATATGGGCACCAGTACTCATTACGGCTGCTCTGCTTCCTATCCAGCTCCCTGGTAATGCACCTGCGGAAGCAGTAGAGGATGACCCAAGTGCGTGGGCTCCTGAATCCACATGGGAGACCCGGATGAAGATCTTGGCTCTTGGCTTTGGCCTGGCCCAACCCCAGCTGTTGTGGTCATTTGTGGAATGAATCAGTGGATGTAAGATCTCTCTCTCTCTCTCTCTCTCAACTTTGCCTTTCAAATAAATAAGTCTTTTATTTTAATTGCATCATTTTTCTGCACCAATAGCAAACATCAGGAATCCATGGGGACAGGGGATTCTGTCACATTGCAGACCAAGACACGGACCCGTAAATATGGAGGAGGTCCCCTGAGAGACTGGAGCTTACTGTTTCTTCTACATTTACTCAAAAGTACGTGTTTTAAGCATTTAACTATGTGCTTGTTCTGGGAGTTGATATCTAGAAGGAAACAAGGCAAAGCAAAGGTTCTTGCTCACGTGGGAAGGGTGGAGATGGGCATTTGACCTAGTAGTTAAGATACCAATGTCCAGGGTCGGGGTTGGGGCATAGCAGGGTAAGCTGCTGCTTACGATGCTGCCATCCCATGTGTGAGCCCTGATTTCAGTCCTGGCTGCTCAGGTTCCAAACCAGCTCCCTGTTAGTGCGCCTGGGAAAGCAGCAGAAGATGGCCCAAGTGCTTGGGTCCCTGCCAACCCACGTGGGAGACCCGGATGGAGTTCCTGGCTCCTGGCTTCGCAGCCATTTGGGAAATGAACCAGCAGATGGAAGATCTCTCTTTCCCTGTCTTTCCTTCTATCGCTCTGCATGTCAAACAAACAAACAAACAAACAAATCCTGGGGGTGGGGGAATATACAGATTTTATATTAACAGCACGGAGCATCTTTCTCCTTCACTTCCTTCCTGCCCTTCTCTCTTTTTCCTTCTACTTCTTCAATTTGCTTTTGGTGGGGGAGGGGGCCGGGGCTGGGGCCGGGGGGGGGACCCACTCTCCTTCTCTTCTTCCTCCCTGCTTCCCTTCCTCCCCTTCTTCAGCTCTGGTTGCTGTGTTTCCTTTGTTGTCCCTCTCTTCTCTCTGCGCCCTCCTGGCTCTGGCCGGGGCTGACAACAGTGAATGGAGGGTTGACGGGGAGGTGGTGGCCGTGGTTGCCTTGTGGTGTGTTGTCTAACAATGCCGTCTGTGGGTGGCACCATCCCAGCGCCACTCTGTCTGTCCTGGGAGCCGCTGCCCCTGAGCTGTTGGGTAGATTCCCGGGAATCAGAACAATGCAGGATAACCCAGTAATCAGGAATTTTTGGCATGGAAGTTTCCTTAGAGATTGTCTGGACTGATCCCTTCATTTTATGAATAGGGAGTTAAAAACCCGGAGAGGGGAAGTGAGTTCCCCAAAACCCAGGACTCCCAACCCCAGTCCTGCCGTCCGGCAGCCCACGGTGATGGCCCTCATACCCTCATTCTTTTTCCTAAGAATGAAAGCAATTAAAACTCAAGGACACTAAATCAATCCAGACCTTTAGATTCTATTTCCCTGCTCCTGAGCCTCTTAGACAGATCAGTTTTAGCAGAAATTTTTGGTCAAGATGCATGAGAAAGAAAGAAAGAAAGAAAAAGACATTCTTCGAGTCCCTGTGGAAGAATGAACCTACTCTATATAAAAGTTTCAGAATATTGCATCACGTTTTAAAATCCTTCTTGTAAAAGTGAAGTTACAGAACAGTGCCTGGCTCCTGTCACCTATTTTGTGCATTTGCTTTTTGGGAGCAAGTACCTGGCTGTGTATTGGTGGAAAGTTACTAACCAAAGCATGGTCAGGCATTTTTCATGTTAGACATTTACCCGACGTGGAAAATAACCTTTAACAAGCAACACGCAAAGCAGCTAAATTTAGCCGAGTTGGCTTCACGGTACTTATTTTTTTCCGAGCAATTAGGTAGCAGTGTACTTAGCAGTGAATGGTAAGGCGTGAAAGTCCAGTTCTTGCTCTGAAGCTGAAGATGTTCGAATTTGGGCAGGTGACTTAATCTTCTGAGTCTCAGTTTATTTCTCTTGTGAAATGGGGTCCAAGAGAGCTGCAAGGATTCCAAGGGAATCTATGGAAAGCTCCTGGCCGAGAACCGCACACAGAGCAGATGTCCCCTGAACAGTCCCTGTTACCGTGTGCTTATTATCTGCCAGGAGCTAGGTGAGCGTTGCAGATCGATAGCTATGCAAATGAAAACTGTTGATTGCAAACATTAAATATAACAAGGCCTCAGATTCTTTAAAGAAAAATTGAAACAGAAAGAAAAAAAAGTAGAAAAAGGTAATGTCAAATACACCAATGCTCATCCAAATGTTCAGATACAACATTGTCATTTCTTTTTGTTTCTTTTCAGACTTTTCTTAGACAAAGTATAATTTTACCTTGTAAATATTGTGGGTTTTCAAAAATTTATTTGAAAGGCAGAGTGACAGAGAAAGAGAGAGAGAGAGAGAGAGAAATAGTTTCCATTCAATGGTTCACCCCCACAAAAGCAACAGCGGTGTTGAGCCAGGAGCCAGAAACTCCATCCTGGTCTCCCACATGAATGGCAGAGGTCAAAGGCCAGAGCCATTACTGCTGCCTCCCAGGGTGCACTTTAGTAGGAAGCTGGATTGGATGCAGAGGCTGGATTGGAGTGTATTGTAGGCACTCCAATATGGGATGTGTGCACCCCAAACAGTGGCTTAACCTGCTGTGCCACAACACCTGCCTCTTTTATATTGTTTTAAAATGGAATCTCTACCTTTAGAAATTAGTTAATTTTTAAAAATTTTTTAAATTTATTTGAAAAGCAGAGTTACAGAGAGGCAGAGGCAGAGACAGAGAAGGTCTTCCATCCACTGGTTCACTCCCCAGTTGGCCACAATGGTTGGAGCTGTGTGGATCCAAAGCCGGGAGCCAGGAGCCAGGAACTTCTTCCAGGTCTCCCATGTAGGTGCAGGGACCCAAGGACTTGGGTCATCCTTTACTGCTTTCCCAGGCCACAACAGAGAGTTAGATCAGAAGTGGAGCAGCCAGGACTAGAACTGGTGCCCATATGGGATGCCGGCACTGCAGACCAGGGCTTTAACCCACTGCGCCACAGCACCAACCCCAGTTAATTTTTTTTTTTTTTTTGACATGCAGAGTGGACAGTGAGAGAGAGAGACAGAGAGAAAGGTCCCCCTTTGCCATTGGTTCACCCTCCAATGGCCACCGCGGCTGGCGCGCTGCAGCCGGCGCACTGCGCTGATCCGATGGCAGGAGCCAGGTACTTCTCCTGGTCTCCCATGGGGTGCAGGGCCCAAGCACTTGGGCCATCCTCCACTGCACTCCCTGGCCACAGCAGAGAGCTGGCCTGGAAGAGGGGCAACCGGGACAGAATCCAGCGCCCCGACCAGGACTAGAACCCGGTGTGCCGGCACCGCAAGGTGGAGGATTAGCCTAGTGAGCTGCGGCGCCGGCCCAGTTAATTTATTTTTGTTTATTTTAAATGAAGAATGACAGAAAGAAGGAGAGAGAGGGAGAGAGATTTTCCATCCTCTGGATCATTCCCTGAATGCCTGCAACAGCGAGGGTTGGGCCAGGCTGAAGCCAGGAGCCTGGAAACTCAATCAGGAACTCCCACATGGTGGCAAGGACCCAACCACCTGAGCCATCCCTGCTGCCTCCCATGGTGCACATAAGCTGGAAGAGGCAGGGGAGCCAAGACTTAAACCCAGACCCCCCCAGTATGAGCTGCAGGCATCCGCAATGGCTGGACCAATTGCCTGCTCGCAGGTCTGTGTCTTTAACATCCACTGTCTTCTTGTGGCGTTCGCTGGAACGCACAGCAGGTTTGTAGCCCATTAAAGCAATCTTGAGAGACGTCATGCCTGTCCTTGTCTTGCTGCAAGTCTCTTCCTTTCTCTGGTTTCTTTTTTCCTCTGTATTTTTATGGATCTCCATCACTCGTCTAATCTAATATTCTTTTTGGAGCAAGGCAGAGTAGAAATCAATGACTGTCAACTTTGGTTGCATATTTGAATCAAACAACATTCCAGTTTAATGAAATTCTCTAGCAGTGGGCCTGAGCATCAGTCTTTTCAAAAAGCTCCCCAGATGCTTATGTAAATAAACAAATACATCATTATCTATAATAATTTCCTCATCATTATTGCATATCTTTTCTAAACACATACTGGTTCTTTTAAAATTCAAAAATAGCTAAACCTTTGAGGTATTGGTACTAAAAATGTACGGCCTGAATCTAATCACTAGGAACATGCAATGAATCCAGACAAGGGACATTCTACAAAATAGCTCATCTGTATTCTTCAAAAATGCTCACGTCTTGAAAGACAAAGAAAAATGTGGAAAGTATTCCCTAGTAAAGTAAACAGACATGAAAACTGAATGTAAAATGGGATGTGGGGTTTTTCTTCTGATGTTTATTTTGGGGGTCAACGCCGTGGCTCAGTTGTTAATCCTTTGCCTGAGATGCCGGCATCCCATATGGACACTGGTTCTAATCCTGGCTGCTCCACTTCCAATCCAGCTCTCTGCTGTGGCCTGGGAAAGCAGTAGAAATGGCCTTGCACCTGCGTGGGAGACCCCGAAGAAGCACCTGGCTCCTGGCTTTGGTTCAGCACAGCTCTAGCCATTGCAACCATCTGGGGAGTGAACCAACGGAAGGAAGACCTCTCTCTCTCTGTCTCTCCCTCTCACTGTCTGTAACTCTACCTCTCAAATAAATAAATAAAATCTAAAAAAAAAAAAAAAAGAGGTGATTATTTGAATGAAGTTGGAGATGTGATAATAATATCACATTATCATCAGTAGGGTATTTAGGGACAAAAGGGCAGACTTAGCAGTTAGGCCACCTCCTGGGATGTGTGCATCCCATGTCAGAGTTCCATCTCCTCTGGTTTTAATCCAGCTTCCTGCTCATGCACTTCCTGGGAGCCAGCAGATGATGGCTTAAGGAGTTGGGTCCCTGCCACCGCCTGGGAGACCCAGATGGAATTCAGGGCTCCTGGTTTTGGCCTGGCTGAATCCTGGTTGTTGAAGTCATTTGGGGAGTAAACCAGAGGATAGAAGATCTCTCTCTCTCTCTCTCTCTCTCTCTCTCCCTCTCTCTCTCTCTCTCTCTTTGTCTCTGTCTCACTCTGTCCCTGTCTTTCAAATAAAAGTGAAAATACTTTTTTTAAAAAAAAGCTAATTCTGTGAATCACAATCAAATAATCAAAAACTTTGTACATATGTTTATATAAATATATATGAGAGAGAGAATGGATAAGCAAAGACAGTAAAATGTTAACATCTGGTGGTATGAATGAAAGACATATGGAAATTCTTGTATTCTTTCAATTTTTTTTTCCAAGACTGGGGTTACCTCAAAATAAACAAAAACTTTAAACTTTTCCAAGGTCCTACAAAAGGAATAAAATAAGGACAGAATTTTAAAATTAAAAAAGTACCTACTTTGTTTCTTTAAAGATATTTCGTAGCTGGGTGGGGAGAGATGTTTCTTAGACGATATTGTCTCCAGAACACAGGGAGGGAGGTCTGGGCTTGCATCTGCTGATTTAAGGCTCCAACAATCGCTGGCAAAGTACCTCCGATAGAGGGCGCTGCAGCACCACAGAGAATAAAACACCTTGGGTAACGTTACCTAACGTGTTAACAAATCGAAGCATGGAGACTCTCAGAGCGGAATTCTGCCCGCGGCTCATTTCGCAGATGAGCAAACTGAGACTCAGAATGGGAAAGCACCTTGGTCAAAGGCAAAGCCACAAGCAGCCCAGCCCCCTTGCACATCATCATCAGAGCCATCATTTTCTGCAGACTTACGAAGTGCCGGGCCCTGGGCTGAGCACTTTGCAAGCAGTATCTATTCCATTATACACCCACATCCCTCTGTTCAGTTCTGAGATCAAGGCGCCGATGAGTTGGTGACCTTGCTTGGTGTCACTAGAGAACAAGGCTCTAACTGTCCCCATAGTGAACTCGCCGTTCTGTACAAACATCTGGCTGGGGTACCCTGGTACAGGAGACAGAACACAGCTTCTACAAGAGAAAGGAACCCCAAGGAGCAGAGGTTCAGTGAGTGGAGATTCTCAGACTAAAGAGAGCAGAAAAGGAAGGCGCCACCGAAATGGGGGGGGTGGTGGTGAGTGGCTTTACCTACGAAAATGGTGATGATGAAGAGAAGCAGAGTGGAGAGTAGAGATGGAGGGAAAACCTAGAAGGGAAAAAAGCAAACCACTCTTGTTGAGGAGGGCCATGAGCCTAAAACTTGGCACCCCTAATCCACCGCCCTGTGTCCCTTCTACTGAACTGGTTGGCTAGTCTTTTTTTTTTTTTTTTGACAGGCAGAGTGGACAGTGAGAGAGAGAGAGAGACAGAGAGAAAGGTCTTCCTTTGCCTTTGGTTTACCCTCCAATGGCCACCCTGGCCGGCGCGCTGCGGCCAGCGCACCGCGCTGATCCGATGGCAGGAGCTAGGTGCTTCTCCTGGTCTCCCATGGGGTGCAGGGCCCAAGCACTTGGGCCATCCTCCACTGCACTCCCGGGCCACAGCAGAGAGCTGGCCAGGAAGAGGGGCAACCGGGACAGAATCCGGCGCCCCGACCGGGACTAGAACCTGGTGTGCTGGCACTGCAAGGCAGAGGATTAACCTAGTGAGCTGCGGCGCCAGCCTTGGTTGGCTAGTCTTGTTAGCTCTACTTCCAGAAACACCCAGGGGGACAGCGTCGTGATGCAGTGGGTTAAGCCGTTGCTTGTGATGCCAAGGTGGTGTCCCATATCAGGGTTCTGGTTTCAGTCCCAGTTGCTCTGCTTCCCATTCAGCTGCCTGCTAATGCGCCTGGAACAGCAGCAGATGATGGCCCAAGGACTTGGGTCCCTGCTGCCCATTTGGGAGACCTGATGAAGTCTCCTGGATTCAGCTTAGCTGAGCCCGGATGGTAGATGTTTCTCTGTCTGTTTCTCCCTTTCTCTCATTCTGCCTCTCAAATACATAAATAAGGGTCCAGAGTTGTGGCATGGTGGGTAAAGCCACCAACTGCAGTGTTGGCATCCCATATGGATACTGGTTCGAGTCCAGGCTGCACCACTTTCAATCCAGCTCCCTGTTAATGCACCTGGGAAAGTAGCAGAAGATGGCCCAAGTGCTTGGGCCCCTGCACCCATGTGGGAGACCTGGAAGAAGCCTCTGGCTTCTGGCTTTGGCCCAGCCCTGGTTGTTACAGCCATTTAGGGAGTAAATCATCAGATGGAAAATCTCTCTCTCTTGTCTCTCTTTCTCTCTCTCTATAACTCTAAGTTAATGAGTAAATTTCAAGTAAATGAGTAAAATTTTTTTTTTTTTTTTTTTTGACAGGCAGAGTGGACAGTGAGAGAGAGAGACAGAGAGAAAGGTCTTCCTTTGCCGTTGGTTCACCCTCCAATGGCCGCCGCGGCCGGCGCGCTGCGGCCGGCGCACCACGCTGATCCGATGGCAGGAGCCAGGAGCCAGGTGCTTTTCCTGGTCTCCCATGGGGTGCAGGGCCCAAGCACCTGGGCCATCCTCCACTGCACTCCCTGGCCACAGCAGAGGGCTGGCCTGGAAGAGGGGCAACCGGGACAGAATCCGGCGCCCCGACCGGGACTAGAACCCGGTGTGCCGGCGCCGCTAGGCGGAGGATTAGCCTATTGAGCCGCGGCGCCGGCCAAAATTTTTTTAAAAAAGAAAAGGTTCATCAACTTCATAAAAATACAGATGTCTTAAAAAAAAGAAGCATCCATGGATCTGCCGTCCCCCTTTGTCTCTCCAGTGCACTGCTGCCCCCGGCTCAGGACACACGCCCTCTGACCTTGACTGTTCAAAGCCTCCGCACTTGCTTCCTTTCTCACACTTTCCGTAATTCATTCTCCATAAGACAACCGGATCATCTTTTCTTTTTATTTTATTTTATCTTATTTATTTATTTGTTTTTTGACAGGCAGAGTGGACAGTGAGAGAGAGAGACAGAGAGAAAGGTCTTCCTTTGCTGTTGGTTCACCCTCCAATGGCTGCTGCGGCCGGAGTGCTGTGGCCGGCGCACCACGCTGATCCGATGGCAGGAGTCAGGTGCTTCTCCTGGTCTCCCATGGGGTGCAGGGCCCAAGCACTTGGGCCATCCTCCACTGCACTCCCTGGCCACAGCAGAGAGCTGGCCTGGAAGAGGGGCAACCAGTAAAGAATCCAGCGCCCCGACCAGGACTAGAACCTGGTGTGCCGGCGCCGCAAGGTGGAGGATTAGCCTATTGAGCCGTGGTGGAGGCCCGGATCATCTTTTAAAACACGTCTCCGAACATGTCACTCTCGTGCACATCTTCCAGTGACTTCTTGCTGCTCTAGAGTCAAGCCCACAGCCACTGCCATGGCCAGGCTTCCCTGGCCTGACCCTTGCCCACCTCCTTGACCTTGTCTCCTGTCCATCTCTTCCTTGCCCGTCCGACTTCCTTCTGCCACACTGTTCCGACGACATGGGACTCTTGTTCCCATAATGGAGTCTTTGCATGTTGCTGTGCCTTTTATCTGGAACACTCTGCTTCCAGGTCTCCACACGGCTGTCCCTTTCCTCTCACTCAAGCTCCTCCCTTGTGTGGCCCCATGGAGAGGCCCTCCTGGGCCCCAGGTCTAGGGTAGCCCCAGTGCCTTCCCTCCCCTGCGCCCCGCTGTGTCGGTGCTGTTGCCCTCACAGCCCAGCCCGCACCACTACCCAAGATCCTCTCATTCACTCACCTGCTGCTTCTGGTTTTTTTTCCCGCTGGACCGTTCACCTCGTGGGGATAGGAACTTGTCTTGTGGCTGGAGCCGCGAGCATCTGGCAGTTGTAGGGACCTAATAGATAGTTGCTAGATGAATGAATAATGAGTTGATGGAGTCCCCTGGACTCAGCTTGGCCAAGCCTGGACAGTTGAGCTGAGTTGATGGAAGCGAGGGACTTCCAGGGATATAAAGCAGAGGGGTGCAGTGGGGAGATATGTTTGCAAGGGTTAGGGCAAGTGGTAGGCTACGGCTGCCAAGTGTTTTCTGTAGGCAGTAGGGAGCCACTGGAGGTTTTTTCATTTCTTGAAGGCAAGATTTCTTTATTTCTGTATTTAATATTTATTTTATTTATTTGAAAGTCAGAGTTACACAGAGAGAGGAGAGGGGGTGAGAGAGAGAGAGAAGTCTTCCATCCATTGGTTCACTCCCCAGATGGCTGCAATGACCGGAGCTGTGCCGATCTGAAGCCAGGAGCCAGGTGCCTCCCCTGGGTCTTCCATGTGGGTGCAGGGGCCCAAGGACCTGGGCCATCTAATACTGCTATCCTAGGCCATAGCAGAGAGCTGAATGGGAAGAGGAGCAGCCAGGCACCCATACAGGATGCCGGTGCTTCAGGCCAGGGCTTTAACCTACTGCGCCACAGCGCTGGCCCCCGAAGGCAAGATTTAATACTGAGCAGTGCGTAGGATGCTGAGGGAAGACAGTGGGGAAAGGAGACCACTGGAAATCCAGCCAAGTGCTGGGTGCTTTATTTATTTATTTTTTAGATGTTATTTATTTACTTGAGAGGCAGAGTTACAGAGAGAGGGAGAGACAGAAAGAAAGGTCTTCCATCTGCTGGTTCACTCCCCAAATGGCTGCAACGGCCAGAGCTGAGCCGATCTGAAGCCAGGAGCTTCTTCCAGGTCTCCCATGCGGGTACAGGGCCCAAG